AAAAATTGAGTCTGAAATAGATATGCAGGTACTTACATATATCTATCTCCCTTAATCTCCTCGCCATTGAACAGCCAAACTATGTCTGGTTTGGGTGCACCAGATACTTGGCATTCAATGGTTACAGTCTCACTAGCAATTGTTTCTTGGTCAGTGGGTTTCTTCACAAAGGTAGGAGCAGAGCCTGAAATTTTTCAATAAGGATTTAAAACCAGAACAACGGCAACGCCAAAGCGTAGCGAATCCCATCGAACAGAAATGGCTGGCATTTTTACAAACGAATAGCAAATATCATAAAACAACTAACCAGAAAGGCCACCATTTTCAAAATGGTTGCTCACTAGCCAAGTTGTCATCAGAAGAAAAATATAATATGCTTTTAAGTAGCCACCTCCAAATTTTTTGAAAAATCGCACACGTACTTGTAAAATAACACACATAAAAATGGTGGCCATTTTTCAAAATGGCCGACTACTCCCCAAAGTTTTATTAGACAATGTGCCATGCTTAGAGTATTCACATATCAAATATGAACAAAATCGCTCCACTACTTTTCGAGTTATAGTAAAATACATTAAAATGGCGGCCATTTTACAAAATTTTTTTCAAAATGGCCGCCTTCTACTAAAAGTGTCATAGGACAGTGTGCCATGCTTATAGTATTCACACACCAAATATGAACAAAATCGCTCCACTACTTTTCGAGTTATAGTAAAATATGTTAAAATGGTGGCCATTTTTCAATTTTTTTTCAAAATAGCCGCCTTTTACCCAAAGTGTCATAGGACAGTGTGCCATGCTTATAGTATTCACATACCAAATATGAACAAAATCGCTCCACTACTTTTCGAGTTATAGTAAAATACATTAAAATGGCGGCCATTTTTCAAAAAAATTTTCAAAATTGCCGCCTTCTACTAAAAGTGTCATAGGACAGTGTGCCATGCTTATAGTATTCACACACCAAATATGAACAAAATCGCTCCACTACTTTTCGAGTTATAGTAAAATACGTTAAAATGGCGGCCATTTTTCAATTTTTTTTCAAAATAGCCGCCTTTTACCCAAAGTGTCATAGGACAGTGTGCCATACTTATAGTATTCACACACCAAATATGAAAAAATCGCTCCACTACTTTTCGATTTATAGTAAAATACATTAAAATGGCGGCCATTTTTCAAAATGGCCACCTTCTACCAAAAGTGTCTTTAGACAGTGTGCAATGCTTATAGTATTCACATACCAAATATGAACAAATTCGCTCCACTATTTTTTTGAGTTACAGCAAAAATCGTAAAATGACGAGTAAAGGCCGCCATTTTTCAAGATGGTTGCCATGTGCTTCTTTAATATCTACATTTGTAGCATTATTAATGTCCTTTATAACTTTTTTACATTTAAAACATATTGCTATTACAGTTTTACATATTGCACCTAAATTACTGTAAAATCGGCACTAAAATGGCCGCCATTTTGAAATGAGCGGCCATTTTGAAAATCGGCTTTCGAGCAGAACTTCTACCTCCATGGGGTATATGTGTACAAAATATGAACAAAATTGGGCCAACGGTATTTGAGTTATTGCCCGGACGGACAGACGGACGGACAGACGGACGGACGGACGGACGGACGGACGTACGGACGGACGGACGGAGGCGTTCCCTATATCCCTCCGAACTTCGTTCGATGGGATAAAAATCTTCATTTTGTACAAAGAATGCACAAAGATGGAACTGGTGGTTCCATGAATCAAAAGTCCTTAATAATATACATATATATTATATATACTTGTCTTGGAATGACAAATATCTCCTTGTAGTAGCAATGATAAAAGCTCAAAATGAGAGTCTTGAATTATACTCACCAACTTCATTGACCCAAAGTTCTGTTGTGTAAGTAGCAGTTCCTACTGGGTTGGTGGCTTTGATGGTGTATTCAGCATCATCCTCAATGGTCACATTGATGATAGACAGAGTGAACACTCCACCATCATGTACCTCAATCTGGTACCTTTCACTAGGTAGGATCTCTACTTGGTCCTTGAACCTGAACACATAAACATCATTCAATTATTTCATGAAGTACTGCCATTCTTTTCCAATGGAGTAATATGTGCCAACGAAGCCGGTGCTTTTATGGCTCATTTAATGTCTCCAAAGCAGTCAAAGTCAAATAAAATTATTCACTTCATTAAATATTCCTTGCAGTTGATTTGTAGCAAATATGAATGCACAAATAAACTATCCATACTATAACTATCTAATCACAATAAAATAGTGTATCCTACTACTTGAACTGTATATAAATGATGACCAAACCCATATCTAGGTTTTTTATTTCAAAATGGGACCCACATCTAGGGATTTTTTGGGTGAAAAAGTGACCAACTTTAGCGGCAAGTCCCCATATAGCCAATATATGAGAGTACATATTAAGCTTTCAGTTGTTTTCTTCAACTGCATTGGATTAATTCTAATATTTTGTGGAATCATTCATCACTACATGATCGAAACAAGATGAGAAATAACAACATTTGAAAAACACTGCAATGTAAGTCTTAAGAATCAATCATATGAACCAGAAGTAAATAAATAGGAGGAGTAAACATACCATGTGACCTCTGGCATGGGATTGCCTTCAACTTGGACCTCAAATGTTGCAGTGGCTCCTTCGTCCACCTCCTGTTCTGAGGGTTGACGTACAAATTTGGGTGGAGTCTGTGCAGTGAGTGACACTGAAACATCCTCCTGAGTCTCTTCCTGTACAACCTAGAAACAAAGACATATAAAGCACAACAGATTCATCATTCCCAGAATAATTGGGAGTTTGTGAAC